TCCCATTATTAGGATTTTCGTGCAAGAAGTCGTCGACTGACAAACTCGTAACACAAGGGTTCAAAATATGCAGATTGATGAAAATTATGGGGAAGTTTTATGGTCGCCATGATGATCTCAGTGAGAAATATTCTGTCTTTGTATGGCATGAAGCTGGACGTGTTTGATGCTCTTTAGTTTGCCTGTTGGTTCTGTTGTTGTATACCTTGTTCTCATTTGCGAACGTGATATAACTTACTTGTCCAGATCCAGTCTCGGATGAAGTCACTCTTGTCTCTGTTCCAGATCCAGTCTCGGATGTAAACACTTGTCTCTGTTCAAGATCCTGCCTCGGATGCGGTTGTCACTCTTGTCTCTATTCCAGATCCAACCTCGGATGTGGTAGTCACTCTTGTCTCTGTTCCAGATCTAACCTCGGATGCTGTTGTCACTCTTGTCTCTATTCCAGATCCAACCTCGGATGTGGTAGTCACTCTTGTCTCTGTTCCAGATCTAACCTCGGATGCTGTTGTCACTCTTGTCTCTGTTCCAGATCCAGTCTCGGATGAAGTCGCTCTTGTCTCTGTTCCAGATCCAACCTCGGATGTAAACACTTGTCATTGTTCAAGATCCAACCTCGGATGAAGTCGCTCTTGTCTCAGTTCCAGATCCAACCCCGGATGTAAACACTTGTCTCTGTTCAAGATCCTGCCTCGGATGCGGTTGTCACTCTTGTCTCTGTTCCAGATCCAATCTCGGATGTGGTAGTCACTCTTGTCTCTGTTCCAGATCCAACCTCGGATGTGGTAGTCACTCTTGTCTCTGTTCCAGATTTAACCTCGGATGCTGTTGTCACTCTTGTCTCTGTTCCAGATCCAGTCTCGGATGAAGTCACTCTTGTCTCTGTTCCAGATCCAACCTCGGATGTAAACACTTGTCATTGTTCAAGATCCAGTCTCGGATGAAGTCACTCTTGTCTCTGTTCCAGATCCAGTCTCGGATGAAGTCGCTCTTGTCTCTGTTCCAGATCCAGCCCCGGATGTAAACACTTGTCTCTGTTCAAGATCCTGCCTCGGATGCGGTTGTCACTCTTGTCTCTGTTCCAGATCCAACCTCGGATGTGGTTGTCACTCTTGTCTCTGTTCCAGATCCAACCTCGGATACTGTTGTCACTCTTGTCTCTGTTCCAGATCCAAACTCGGATGCGGTTGTCACTCTTGTCTCTGTTCCAGATCCAACCTCGGATGTGGTAGTCACTCTTGTCTCTGTTCCAGATCCAACCTCGGATGTGGTAGTCACTCTTGTCTCTGTTCCAGATCCAACCTCGGATGTGGTAGTCACTCTTGTCTCTGTTCCAGATCCAACCTCGGATGCGGTTGTCACTCTTGTCTCTGTTCCAGATCCAACCTCGGATGTGGTAGTCACTCTTGTCTCTGTTCCAGATCCAACCTCGGATGCTGTTGTCACTCTTGTCTCTGTTCCAGATCCAACCTCGGATGCGGTTGTCACTCTTGTCTCTGTTCCAGATCCAACCTCGGATGTGGTAGTCACTCTTGTCTCTGTTCCAGATCCACCCTCGGATGCGGTTGTCACTCTTGTCTCTGTTCCAGATCCAACCTCGGATGCGGTTGTCACTCTTGTCTCTGTTCCAGATCCAACCTCGGATGCGGTTGTCACTCTTGTCTTTGTTCCAGATCCAGTCTCGGATGAAGTCACTCTTGTCTCTGTTCCAGATCCAGACTAGGATGCGGTTGTCACTCTTGTCTTTGTTCCAGATCCAGACTAGGATGCGGTTGTCACTCTTGTCTCTGTTCCAGATCCAACCTCGGATGCGGTTGTCACTCTTGTCTCTGTTCCAGATCCAACCTCGGATGCGGTTGTCACTCTTGTCTCTGTTCCAGATCCAGTCTCGGATGAAGTCACTCTTGTCTTTGTTCCAGATCCAGACTAGGATGCGGTTGTCACTCTTGTCTTTGTTCCAGATCCAGACCTAGGATGCGGTTGTCACTCTTGTCTCTGTTCCAGATCCACCCTCGGATGCGGTTGCCACTCTTGTCTCTGTTCCAGATCCAACCTCGGATGCGGTTGTCACTCTTGTCTCTGTTCCAGATCCAACCTCGGATGCGGTTGTCACTCTTGTCTCTGTTCCAGATCCAGTCTCGAATGAAGTCACTCTTGTCTTTGTTCCAGATCCAGACTAGGATGCGGTTGTCACTCTTGTTTTTGTTCCAGATCCAGACTAGGATGCGGTTGTCACTCTTGTCTCTGTTCCAGATCCACCCTCGGATGCGGTTGTCACTCTTGTCTCTGTTCCAGATCCAACCTCGGATGCGGTTGTCACTCTTGTCTCTGTTCCAGATCCAACCTCGGATGCGGTTGTCACTCTTGTCTCTGTTCCAGATCCAACCTCGGATACGGTTGTCACTCTTGTCTCTGTTCCAGATCCAGTCTCGGATGAAGTCACTCTTGTCTTTGTTCCAGATCCAGACTAGGATGCGGTTGTCACTCTTGTCTTTGTTCCAGATCCAGACTAGGATGCGGTTGTCACTCTTGTCTCTGTTCCAGATCCAACCTCGGATGCGGTTGTCACTCTTGTCTCTGTTCCAGATCCAACCTCGGATGCGGTTGTCACTCTTGTCTCTGTTCCAGATCCAGTCTTGGATGAAGTCACTCTTGTCTTTGTTCCAGATCCAGACTAGGATGCGGTTGTCACTCTTGTCTCTGTTCCAGATCCACCCTCGGATGCGGTTGTCATTCTTGTCTCTGTTCCAGATCCAACCTCGGATGCGGTTGCCACTCTTGTCTCTGTTCCAGATCCAACCTCGGATGCGGTTGTCACTCTTGTCTCTGTTCCAGATCCAACCTCGGATACGGTTGTCACTCTTGTCTCTGTTCCAGATCCAGTCTCGGATGAAGTCACTCTTGTCTTTGTTCCAGATCCAGACTAGGATGCGGTTGTCACTCTTGTCTTTGTTCCAGATCCAGACTAGGATGCGGTTGTCACTCTTGTCTCTGTTCCAGATCCAACCTCGGATGCGGTTGTCACTCTTGTCTCTGTTCCAGATCCAACCTCGGATGCGGTTGTCACTCTTGTCTCTGTTCCAGATCCAGTCTTGGATGAAGTCACTCTTGTCTTTGTTCCAGATCCAGACTAGGATGCGGTTGTCACTCTTGTCTTTGTTCCAGATCCAGACTAGGATGCGGTTGTCACTCTTGTCTCTGTTCCAGATCCACCCTCGGATGCGGTTGTCACTCTTGTCTCTGTTCCAGATCCAACCTCGGATGCGGTTGTCACTCTTGTCTCTGTTCCAGATCCAACCTCGGATGCGGTTGTCACTCTTGTCTCTGTTCCAGATCCAGTCTCGAATGAAGTCACTCTTGTCTTTGTTCCAGATCCAGACTAGGATGCGGTTGTCACTCTTGTCTTTGTTCCAGATCCAGACTAGGATGCGGTTGTCACTCTTGTCTCTGTTCCAGATCCAACCTCGGATGCGGTTGTCACTCTTGTCTTTGTTCCAGATCCAGACTAGGATATAGCCACTCTTGTAGAATTCCAGATCCTGCCTCGGATAAAGTCACTTTTGGCATAGTTCAAGATCCCGTCTTGAATGTGGTAGTCACGCTTGCCCTTGTTTCAGATCAATCCTCGGATATATCCAATCCTGTCGGACACTTTTGTCTAATTCAATATCCAGCCACGTATGTAGACACTCTTGTCAATTCCAGATCCAGCCACACACGTAGGCACTCGAGATCAAGCCCCGGATGTGGCCTCTATTGTCTAATTCCAGATCCAGTCTCGGATGTGGCCTCTATTGTCTAATTCCAGATCCAGTTTCGGATGTGGCCTCTATTGTCTAATTCCAGATCCAGTCTCGGATGTGGCCTCTATTGTCTAATTCCAGATCCAGTCTCGGATGTTGTTATTTAGGTTCCGCATAAATATAAAGATGCCTCATGGTACAATGGGTAAAGATCCATTACACGACTTTAAAAGACATATAAAGATCAAATAACCGTAGGCGCCAAGACAGATTTAAACGACAGAAGTTATCGAGTAGAGAGTAATTTCAAATCGGACATACAATAAATATAGGGAGAATATTTGACTATTGTCATCAAATTTTAGAAATATTAGATGTATTTTGGCAATGGTAAAACAAGTCAAACGCTCTTTACTGTTGTATTTCTGTCCCGAGTCAAAATAAACCTTATATGGCCATGTATTTATAATTACAGACAATCGAAACAGTTCGATGTTAACCTGTGTTTACTCGGTGGAGTTGACGTTACGCTGTTTTATACCTGATGACGCAAACCAAGTTTCGCGTCAAATAGAGTTCCAAACTTCAACTGACGTGATAAATATTTCTTGACTTTCCTAAACATTTGTACAATACAACACACAATAACGTTTATTTTAACTGTTTATCATAGCTGAAATGTATAACAATTCAGCTGAAGTGATGGTCAATCAATGCACGGACAAAACAGTTGTTTTCCGTCAAACCTGAATACAGCAAATATTATTAGGCAGATTAAAAAAATAAAACGATGATGACCCCTACAAGGCTACGAATCATTCAATCTGTAATATATAACTATGTACATTGTTAAATAATAATTTGTAGATTTTTTTAATCATTTGCGCGTCTTTACGCTTTCTATCCAGCCAAATACGAGGATTAAACAAAATAAACAATATACAAAAAGTATTATTTTAGCTTTCCACTGCTCAGATAAAATACTTTGTACATACTCTACATAGGAGCCCTATTAAGCATTCGTTTACGTATATACTCTCGCCAAAAACAGTTTGGGTTTAAAATTCAGCCCAATCTATTTGTAGTTACGTAGAAGTAACTCTGTATCTTTATCAAAGCATGGGTCATGTTTCTAGGTTAAATACACTGATACATGGAAAAGGTTTAGTTCCCTTGTACTTTCAGGCATGACGTCATAAGATGGGAGGTGTGTTACGTGGAAATACCACGCATAAACGTAATAACAGCAAGTCTTAAATGACCACGTAATTGTGATACTGTATGTGACTGTATTACACCCGGATTTGGTACTCAATACACGGAAGAAATTTGTACCCATTAAACCTGCATTATGTACTTAAAAAACTCTTTAAACCAGGAGTCTGTTCTCATTAAAAACGAACCCGGTACTTATTCAAACTGCAGTCAATAGTCATTAAACTCGGAGGATATACTCGTTAAATCTGGAGTCTGTACTCATTAAACCTGAAGCTGGTACTTAGTCAAACCGCAATTAATGGTCATTAAACTCGGAGGCTATACTCATCAAACCAGGTGTATGTACTCATTAAAACTGAAGTCGTCATTCATTTAACTCTGCACTAAGTCAACCCTGAGTCTGAACTGATTCAACCCACGATATTTACAAAAATCTCTTTGGGTGCGGAAGTACTAAACCCGGAGTATATACTCATTCATTAAACTCTATACTCATTATACCTTAGGAATGGATTCGTTAAATTCAGAGGACGTACTTGTTATACTTTGGGTCTTAACCCTCGAAGTCCTACTCCCGAGGTATCTACTTCGGGTCTTAACCCTCTAATCACTACTCCCGAGGTTTCTACTTTGGGTCTTAACCCTCTAAGTCCTACTCCCGAGGTGTCTACTTTGGATTTTAACCCTCTAAGTCCTAGTCCCGAGGTGTCTACTTTGGGACTTAACCCTCTAAGTCCTAGTCCCGAGGTGTCTACTTTGGGACTTAACCCTCTAATCACTACTCCCGAACTTTCTACTTTGGGACTTAACCATCTAAGTCCTACTCCCGAAGTATCTTCTTTGGGTCTTAACCCTCTAATCACTACTCCCGAACTTTCTACTTTGGGACTTAACTCTCTAAGTCCTAGTCCCGAAGTATCTACTTTGGGTCTTAACTATCTAAGTCCTACTCCCGAGGTTTCTACTTTGGGTCTTAACCCTCTAAGCACTACTCCCGAGGTGTCTACTTTGGATCTTAACCCTCTAATCACTACTCCCGATGTGTCTACTTTGGGTCTTAACCCTCTAAGCACTACTCCCGAAGTGTCTACTTTGGATTTTAACCCTCCAAGTCCTACTCCCGAGGTTTCTACTTTGGGTCTTAACCCTCTAAGCACTACTGCCGAGGTGTCTACTTTGGGTTTTAACCCTCTCAGCACTACTCCCGAGGTTTCTACTTTGGTACTTAACCCTCTCTGCACTACTCCCGATGTTTCTACTTTGGGTCTTAACCCTCTAAGCACTACTCCCGAGGTGTCTACTTTGGATCTTAACCCTCTAATCACTACTCCCGATGTGTCTACTTTGGGTCTTAACCCTCTAAGCACTACTCCCGAAGTGTCTACTTTGGGTTTTAACCCTCTCAAGTCCTACTCCCGATGTTTCTACTTTGGGTATTAACCCTCTAAGCACTACTGCCGAGGTGTCTACTTTGGGTTTTAACCCTCTCAGCACTACTCCCGAGGTTTCTACTTTGGTACTTAACCCTCTCTGCACTACTCCCGATGTTTCTACTTTGGGTTTTAACCCTCTCAGCACTACTCCCGAGGTTTCTACTTTGGTACTTAACCCTCTCTGCACTACTCCCGATGTTTCTACTTTGGGTTTTAACCCTCTCAGCACTACTCCCGAGGTGTCTACTTTGGGTTTTAACCCTCTTAGCACTACTCCCGAGTTGTCTACTTTGGGTTTTAACCCTCTCAGCACTACTCCCGAGGTTTCTACTCGGTGGTTGGCAGTGTGTAGTGTCCTTTACTTCTCGGTTCGTTGTATGTTCATTGCGTTTATTTTAAACCGGAATTATTCTTTGTATTACCGTAACTCTACTGAGTTGTCTCAATATATCAAAAGAAGAAACCGAATTATTGTTGTCTGCCTTTGTTAAGTAACCCTTCACGTAGAACCGAATAAAGATACCAACAGATACATTAAGGATGAGTACGATTGGTAAACCCAACATAATATAAAAAGTAAAATTGTACCTCACATAGCTGATTATGTACTAAACATGAGGCCTAAGGGGCCTGCATCGCTTACCTGGTATTCTTCATCAAACTAACCTATCAGGTAATAAGTTATTAGGATTTATCAAATTTTACCCCTTTGACCTTTAATATAGATCAAGATCCTTTCTTTTGCAAACTCTGTCAAGCTTCATTCTAGTAACCTATTGACAAATATTCCCTATTCTAAGCATTTGAGTTCATCATCAGAAGTCGTTGGAACCTTTAACAATCTTCATCCTTGTACACTTTAATAGATCCAAGTCATTTCTTTTCCCAGACTTTGTCAATTCAAGTTCTTCTTTGACTCCACTACTAAATGTCATGATTCTATGCCTTAAGGTTCATCATCATCAGATGTTTGACAAACCTTTTCAACAAGTCATTACCTGTTCACACTATTTCTTGGCCTTCAATAGAACTTACCAGCCAAACATCAGGAATCTAGGCATTTTGGTTAATAAACAAGATTAAAACAAGTTTTACCTATATAATCCTGAATATGGGCTAAACGTTTCGCAAACACTTTAGTTTGGAGGCTTCATCCATAGGAGCCTAAAGCCAATTATCATGATTCTGCATCTCCTGGTTATTATGGAATCAATTAAAGGAAAAAAATGACACCAGACAGATGTGTTCAAGGATCTGAACAGCATGATGATGATGGACTAAAAATCTGGCCGAAATCTTCAAATGCTTAATACGCTCGATTTTATTCATAAATAAGACAGCTCCTCATGAAATCCTACAGTATCTCTCTGTTTTTAATACAAGTTGGTATAAGTATATTTCTACCTATAAGACTGATAGGCAGCTTGCCTTCAAAGTCGCTCTTTTTTCAGTGAAATGTTGAATGTTAAGAAACAGCTCCAGCACGAGACCTAATTTGAGTTTACGACAACTTGAACGGCACTATCTCCTAGTCTGTAGACGTTAATAGTTGCACAGTTGTAAAAACTGTTTAAAATCATCAGGCAAGAAATAAAATAAAAAGAAAATACACAAATACCTTGAGATCAACATAGCAATTTATTACCTTTTTTCAAAAAAGAAAGAATACTATTATGCAAATTAAAACTATATGGTGTGTCTGGGGTAACTCAAGCATCCCCATTACTAAGGTCTTGATACATGCCACCTACAGTCTTGGATAAGTAACTTGTGTTGGACAAACAGAGGTTCCCATGTGTTGTGAAACTTGTCTGAGGATATTAATGTATTAGAGTACTCACGTAATAAGCTTTTAAAATGCATGAGTCATGACCCTAGATCAATACAGCTTCAATTTCATTCAAGAATGATTATCTCTATAAATGGGGTTCAACTGGAACATACATGTATCACTCTAAAGATTCTGCAGTAAAGTCTGAAGTATAATACACAAGTCCTTTATCCAAGTCTGTTGATGAACTTGGAAATAAACTAAGAAATCCATGTTATCTCCTCAGCATAATGCCCCAACTTGAGCAGAAATAAGATCTAAAGGGCATTGTAATAGACACCACATCTAAAAAGTAGAAATAATTACTAAATCATACTAGGTGTAAGATGACTAGATTCCATGTCACATAAGCTAAGACTATCACGCAATGTGTCTATACAGGGACACGTAAAAGCTGTGCTCATAACCTCAGTGTCTGACGCACTCACTCGTACAAAACATTTTCATTTACCCACACTGTGATGTATAAGGGTCAAACTATCACATCATCTTTAATTTTAGTGAACATTTCTTTTTCTTATTCCAATCAATGGGTGGATACAATAGCATGTAAAATGTTTCCATTAGAGCTGAAAGCCTTGGATAAAAGATAGTTCAGCAATTCTGTGATCAATAAAATAGAAACTTCTCTGTGGCATAGCAATAATGTATATTTGTATGCTTAAGCATACACTTGAATTCCATAGAGACATATTTTTTGTTACTTTTGTTTTTCTTTACATCGCCCACAGACCCTTCCCCTACTGGGGCTTTGCCCCTGGACCTTTCTTGAAAGTATACACTACTAAAAAGCATTGTCTATGCCACTGTCTGTTCTCAACAGATTCTGTAAATAAATAGGAGAACTGTCATATATTACTTACACTAGAAATCATGTCTCAAATTGATTACTCACTCTATCACTTGGTTATTTATATTTGAAACATCTGTAAGCATCCTCCAAGGAATCATTGTCTCGTCTACTCCTACTTTCCTCTGAGAAATGTTTTTGTCTCATTCGTGAGACATCTGTCACTTTCCTCTGAGAAAATGACTGTCTCATTCATGAGACATCTGTCACTTTCCTCTGAGAAAATGCCTGTGTCTCATTTGTGAGACATCTGTCACTTTCCTCTGAGAAATGATTTTGTCTCATTCATGAGACATCTGTCACTTTCCGCTGAGAAATGATTTTGTCTCATTCATGAGACATCTGTCACTTTTCTCTGAGAAATGATTTTGTCTCATTCATGAGACATCTGTCACTTTTCTGTGAGAAATGATTTTGTCTCATTCATGAGACATCTGTCACTTTTCTGTGAGAAATGATTTTGTCTCATTCATGAGACATCTGTCACTTTTCTGTGAGAAATGATTTTGTCTCATTCATGAGACATCTGTCACTTTTCTGTGAGAAATGATTGTGTTCCATTTGCAAGGCATCAGTAATTTTCCTCTTGAGAATAATTTTGTTTAGTTTATGAGACATTTGTAACCTTCCTTAGAGGAATGAAATTAATTTGTTATCAGCCCTGAAGTAGATGGAGACAGTTTTGAATCCTGCAATAGATACACGACACAATATGAGATAATATCCAGTACAACTTTCACACTCACTGAAAATACATTGCTGATCTCAACAGTACAACTAATGCTGCAGTTAGAAATATCAATGATAAACACAAATCTCTGCTGGTTTTTTCCTGTTTTACTCGGAATCAAAATGGCACAAAATCTACGAGTTACATTACTCACCTAGGTAATTGTGATGTTTTAAGCCAACCTTTGTTTCCAGATTGTGTTTGTAAGGCACTATCTTAGTTATAGTACCAAAACAACCTTACCTACCAATAGTTCATGTTTTCCCTCCTTAAAAATCATTGTTCTCTATGATCAGGTTTCAGAATGCTAATAAAAAATAATTTTCATTCAGTGTATTAAAATTTTGCTAAAATATTTCTCAAATTATAAAAAAAATCTTTTAAGGGACATCCCTCCATTCAAAGAGCAGAAATATGCTATGCTGTAATTTTTCTAATTTATACCTAAAACGGGATCACACTACATGTAAGTGGTGATAGATATGGACTAGGAAATGTACAGAAAATACACACATCCTGTGTAAACACTGTCTGTATGTACTGGTGATCCTTGTCCTTGGGGCTGAATTTTATAATTTAATCACTTGGCTTATTTTGAGACTTTGCTGAATTTTATAATTTAATCACTTGGGTTATTTTGAGACTTTGAGTGCTGTATTAATGTATAGTTACTAACTTTTACAAGTCCAGAAAAATAAACGTAAATGTTGTTTGATTTTTTATAAAATTGTTTCAATGAAGGAATGCCCCTTAATATCAATAGTTTGTAATCTTTTTTTTTTAATCTTCTGAAAAATTTTAGTAATACGGTCAGCCATGACTAGTTATTTAAGAGTAAAATAAACAGTTCTTTCTACCATACAGTCTCTTTCTAAACTCTCTCCACAAGTTTGAATAGTTTGAATATGTACAGAAAGGCACAACATTTAGGGCAGAACATATTGGTCCCTCTACAGCTTTGTACACCTGCGTGACGGGACGATAGACTGGATGAGGGATTTGATACTGGAGGTAACACAACAGTTACATCTTAAACTCTTCCTACCAAGCAACATTTTTGTGGAGTTTGATTACATGTCACCTTTTATCTGAAAAATCACATTACACCCTACCTTCTTAATTGAAGCTACGTGCATACTGACAGGCTTACACCATGCTGTGCTCTACTGGTATCAAAACAATGGTTTCCCTTACATTTTCAGGTGAGATATAAAACTGTACAATCTGAGAAAAACACCCTGATTACAGAACCTACTTCTCAAGTAGAAAACACATATGTAGCAAAGTAAACATTTCTGTAAAATTTATCTTAGTTTGGTACAGCCATCTCCAGCTTAATCTAAGGTAAAATTAAGCAAGTTAATCACCAATATTAGTCCTAAACAAAATTATGTTTTTAAGTACCTTAACGAAAAATTGTCTTATGAAGCTGAAAATACCAGAATATTAAGTGTTAACTGCACAATTTATCTGCAACTACACAAAACATTCATTAATAGAAAATTTAAAATCCTTGGCAGATATTTCTTAGCATTGAATCCTGAGAATGGGCAGTCAGGTAGTAAGCCTTGTGGAAGTAATATTCATACTATCTATATACAGTGAAGGAATTCGTAAGAAACCAAATAATCCTACAAAGTAGTGGGTATTTCTTAGCAAGCATGCATTATTGTATGATCATTTCAGAATCACTGTGTAACATGTTACTTATAAACACGTTGACACTTAACAGATAAACTGTAGGTCTACTGTAAAGTCAAACTTTTACTTTTTGGCTGATCTAAAAATTACCTTTTAAATTTAGGTCTGAGAAAGGTTAATTTCAGTATAAATTTTAATACTATAAAATAACAAATTAATGTTATTCTCACACCCAATCCTTAACCCGAGTAAGATTGCTCTGTGTTTTTCACCAAATAATTTGAATCTTAACAAAAAGGAATATTTCTCACTGTCCATTCCTTTAAATTGGAGGTGGCCTAATGGTCTTCTAAGTCAGGTTAGATCTGTTCATTAATCAGTGTTTCTGTAAACCGTTGTAATATTAACTGTTTGGTCTTTATAGGTACTGTCAGTGCAGTACAGTCTGAGTTATTACTTGTGGGTCTATTTTCTTAATATCAGTATCACATCAGTATCAAATGTTGTGAATATTAATGTGTTTTCAATACTGGTTCAATGGGGTATACCATAAAAACTACAAAGAAATACAGAAGAGATATGGATTACACAACATGTATCAGACAGATATATTTAAGTGGTACAGATGAGATTCATCATATATCAACAACATATATACACTTGGAGCAGAAAGACATCAACAGATGCAAGCTTAAGGCAACAAGTACATAAACATATATCACTAGGTGATAGTAAATCAATGATAAAATTAATTGTAGTAAATGAAGCGACATCTTTATGACCAGCTTTCCAGGGTTAGTGGGAATTTACAACAACATTGTACCTAACTTTTATTCTCAGATTACACAGGTGATACATGTAGCACTAAAAGTATAGCAGGACATAGACAGCATACCCAACCAAGTTTAAAAGTTTATAGAAACAATAAAACAACACAAATTTCACATGTTGATATTAAGTAAAATGATTTCTGTATAATATCACTATTTTAGGATTTCTCTGTTGATTTTTTTTCTAAATCACACATTAAACCTGAGATGGACTGTCGCAATTACGGAGGCAGGTAAAGGGAGACAACCCCAATATTTTTCTGTCAGAACTGTTTTGATCTGTCTCAAAAAAGAAATCAGAAAGAGCAATACTATTTTGAATAGATATAAGTTATATGTAAATAACTGACCAATTATATAAGTACCAGCACATTCCTGATTTGTCTGTTTACCTCAAATATCATGTCAGTCACTGCAACTAGCCTCAAATTGCCAACTGTAGTGAAGAATTGCTTCAGAGTTGACTGCTTGGCAAGTACATATGAGTACAGCACTGTTCAGTGAGAGCTAGTTGAGATATTTTAATGATCTCTTTAAGCTTGTTAAAACGAAATATGAAGAATGTTTATCAATATCCATCAAAGGTTCTCACTAGTGAAATTTCATATTTATGGCTTTAAACAAGTCCAGATGATTTATGAAGGCTTTCAACAATCAAGACCTTTTGATATTTGACCAGGGCCAGCTCATAAAATTTCAATAACCTTTGAACTTTTGACAATATTTTACAGTTAGGCTTAAATATTATCATGGATACTCAGATGAAAATACATACTTTATATCAGGAAGATTATATGATGCATTCCTTTATGATCCCTCTGGTCAAATATCATGAGCTTGGTATCAACTTCTAAATAAGGTACTTAAATAAAGAAATGTATAGATACAGGAGAGACTGTTTAAGGCACATTGCCACACAATAAGCTGATGGGAAAATGTTGCATCAGGGGAGGTAATGTATCAGATATAATTACTATCATCCATTACAGATAACTGTCCCCATATTACTAATCCCTGAAGTCATACCCAACCTTACCTTTATACATTTTTTTGATGGGACAGAGTTCAACCAAATTATCATATGAATGTATCAAAAGTGTTACTGTTTTCCTCACAAATTTCTCAAAATCAAGTAATTACAGGGTACAATTGTGCCTACATTTGTAACAACTGCTGCTAAAATCTTTACATAACAATGTCTTTCGTCTTGCCACCAATTTAACTTTCAACAAGCAAAAGCAAACCTATTTCACAGCCATAAATCAATTAATTTTAAGGAAGCAAACATTTACCCCATTCCTATAGATAAGTAATTACCATCAATTACTTCCTCATACAAGAAAATCATTAAGTTTGAATTCATGGTAACTCTTAAGTAACTCTTAATCCGTGAATTTATATATACATAAATAATAAATATCAAAATTTACCTGGATTTTAGTATTAGTGGTTTTTGGTGAGCAACATTAATCCAAATCGTGCCAACAAAAATGCAGATTTTTGTGAAACCACAAAATTTTTGGCCTCACAAAAATATAGGAATTTACAGCTATTAAGAGTAAGGTTTTACGGAATTAGTCAGCAAAATGAAGTAGATGTGAAAATACAGTCATCTACATATACAATATATGCATACTTCAGGTTTTTAAATAGCTAAAATGATTTTGTATTTAAAATTTTATCTTCAACTAAAATTGCACAATACATCTAAAAGGGTTAAAAGCAAACATTGTAAGATAACACGTATGTTAGGCATCAACACAAGGCATCCCACTAAACCCTGACAAAACTCAATATGCAAAGTGATGGCAACATATGTAATATGGAATGTTCAAACAGTGCCGATATACTATAGTGTTTTTACATTTTGATTCTGCCTATCGTTTTCATTCTCCACAAAGTCATCAAAGAGACTAGGCCAAGCTTCAGTGTCATCATATGACCCTAGATCATCACCAACCTGCTCAGTAAAATTGAGAAACATATCCCAGGTATCCCGTGGGATACCCCGAATATTTGGATGGACATCTAGAAACTCAAGCCAGCGCTGTACAATAGGGGGTTCTGTCTGCGAGAAGACCAGCTTCCAAAGACTGATTGTCATATCAATGGGAAGTGTTCTTTGTCCTGACTCAGCATCTAGTCCAAACTTGTAAGTCCAACGATACAGCTCTTTGAACTTTTGCTTGTCTTTTACTTCTGTCAACAAGTCTGTAAACCTAGCTTGAATACCTTTGATTGAGTCTGCTTTTATTGCTTTGCAACCGTTCACAAACTCTTCCCTTGTAAACTTGCACATTGTCTTGGCCTGGAATTTCCATGCTAGCACCAACACTATAAATTCATCTGGATTTACATCTAAATCTGTACAGAATTTTTCAATGCCTTCTGCTAATATTGCATCCTCCCCTGGGTCCTTGTATTGCTCAAACAGTGTCTGTATCTTACTTTCAGAGTAGTCCCGAGATATAAAAGACAATCGTTTGTTATCACCGTTGCTATGTTTCTTAATGGGTGGTAGTTTTGGGTAGGGTGTAAACATTTTTTTGTCTGAGATAGGTTGAGGCTGCCTGCTTGAGGTTAGATGACTGAGGACATCCCCACCCCCAGAGTCTGAGTTGAGGGCCTGAGGCTGGGAGCCTGCCCTGCCTCGGTAAGTCCCTGCTGCGGATGAGGACCTTGGTGTACTGGAGTACCTTGAGCTGGCCGAGGTTCCAGGGGTCTCACAACAAGATTGACACTTTCCCATTGGAAATTACTCCGCTGACAACTGTATACCTGAAATAAAGTGAAAACAGAGGATGTCAAAAACGGACCAAAATACAGCAAAATTAACAATTGGCAAAATGGGTCCATATCCTTCACCAGATATTCAATGTCTTCCATCAATCTATACCTAATGTCACATATCACTGGCAATCAAAAATGGCTGACATAAAATCTACAAACCTTCATTTGTCTGACTAATATAGCTATTTTGTAAGACTTCAATCAATACAATTAAAGAGCAAGTGAAGCTATTTAAGTGCTTTAATAAATCGGAACCCTGTGACCTGAAATAAGGGAAATATACTTTCATTTTGCAAGATCGATCAGGCTATATATCATAGAATTAACTGGCTCAATTCTAGGCTTTTGGGCAATAATCAGAATAAGTTGTTAGAATGCCTTCAAAAATTTTAAATTGTGACCTTGTATATGGGTCAAGGTCATTTCTTTTCACACTTTGACTTTGGGCTTCATCAAATTGACCTATATTAACTACCAGCCATTATCATGATTCTAGGCCCTTATTGGTTACTCAAAAAAAGGTTCAAAGAGGAAACCTTTATGCCAGAATGACAGATGGAATAAAATGCAAAAACAAAACGTCAAAAATAGAGCAAGCTTGCATGACAACAAAAATATATAACAAATAATTATAATGCCTGGAATATAGTAAAAATATGGGATATCAAATATAAAGCAAATGACAGATCAAAAGGATAAACAAAAGATCCCTGATGGATCTTGGTGTACATCATCTTTTTATCTTTATATGCTCTTTTACAGTTGGATCTTTTTCCTTCTTTTCTCTTCTGTTCTCTGTTTTTGCTCTCAATTATAAGACATTTAAACATTCCTTTGCAAAACTTGTGATGATAATCTTTGCCTGCCAAATCCAAAGAAGCCACCTGAAAGTCATTTTGTTTCTTCTGATCAGTCCCAAAATCACACGAGCACAAACAGAGACCAAAGGGAGCATCAGGGGTCTGGAAAAATATTTTAAACCACTAGGCACAGGACTAGTGGACTGAAAAATTTACTCGTCCGAATTGGAAATTTACTCGTCCAAATTCAGCCATGAAATGGCGACTTAATCAGCGAGGATGTGACATGTGACTTTTTTTCTATTTTTATTTTAAGTTTTTGTGAAAACACTATGCAGTGATGGCTGCTTTGCGTCAGACATTGTGCGTGACTTAAGCCTAGCTGTAGAGTTTGTTTATATCCTACTGACTAGGTGCTGCTAAATACAGACCGGTACATGTTGGTACCGCCCGAGAGCACCTGACATCAGTATGACCGTGGGAAAATGACTAAGGTATCCGAAGTACCGTAAACACGTTTCTTTGTTTTAAATTTTCTTTGGAAAAAAGTACCTGTCTGACGGGCGAGTGACAAAGATAATTCTGGTTGTCCGAGACAATTTTCAGTTGTCCATAACAACCGGACGAGTGCTTTTTCGGACCCCTGAGCATACATATGAAATTTGAGAGAGAGATATCTCTTACTTTTCAAGAAATAGCAGTAACAAAATTCATTGAAAAATTCAAAGATGGTCGTCTGTCAACCATTTTGTTTTTTTCTGATCAGGCCCAAATCAAAGTGACACAACTAGGGACCAAGGGGAACCTACATATGCAATTTGGAAAGAACAGTCCAGCGCTTCTCAAGAAATAGCGGTAACAAAAATTGTGTACAGATGGAGAAAGAGCATTAGAGGATGTAACGTCAAACAAGCTTCAAGTAATAAATGATGTCAACTTTACTACCAGTATAAAGATATACCTACATGGTCGTATATCCAGCAGATATTAATTTACTACCAGTATAAAGATGTACCTACATGGTCCTATATCCAGCAGATTTCATTAATTTTGTTATGTCCATTACATCAAGGTAGAACAATTTTCTAAGAAAATCAAACAAAACCATAACAAACATGCATCACAGGTATATGTGTAAATATTACTGGTGAGATCAATTATTAAATACAGCTCTGAAAATATCTCTGGTAATGAATACATGGCCAAGATACTGACTTTTTTCACAACTTGCCAATAGCAATAGAAGTATAGACAGAATCAATAGCATGAAGAAACAGGGTGTATTAATTATTCAATTGATGGAAGTTAAGATACACACACCTATATAGGACATCACTAAAAACAGACATCAGGCTCCAGATGGGGAGTTAACATACACACACCTATATAGGACAACACTATACACAGACATCAGGCTCCAGATGGGGAGTTAACATACACACACCTATATAGGACATCACTATACACAGACATCAGGCTCCAGATGGGGAGTTAACATACACACACCTATATAGGACATCACTATACACAGACATCAGGCTCCAGATGGGGAGTTAACATACACACACCTATATAGGACATCACTATACACAGACATCAGGCTCCAGATGGGGAGTTAACATACACACACCTATATAGGACATCACTATACACAGACATCAGGCTCCAGATGGGGAGTTAACATACACACACCTATATAGGACATCACTATACACAGACATCAGGCTCCAGATGGGGAGTTAACATACACACACCTATATAGGACATCACTATACACAGACATCAGGCTCCAGATGGGGAGTTAACATACACACACCTATAGAGGACACACACCTATATAGGACACTATACACAGACATCAGGCTCCAGATGGGGAGTTAACATACACACACCTATATAGGACATCACTATACACAGACATCAGGCTCCAGATGGGGAGTTAACATACACACACCTATAGAGGACAACACTATACACAGACATCAGGCTCCAGATGGGGAGTTAAGATACACACACCTATATAGGACATCACTATACACAGACATCAGGCTCCAGATGGGGAGTTAACATACACACACCTATAGAGGACAACACTATACACAGACATCAGGCTCCAGATGGGGAGTTAACATACACACACCTATATAGGACATCACTATACACAGACATCAGGCTCCAGATGGGGAGTTAACATACACACACCTATATAGGACATCACTATACACAGACATCAGGCTCCAGATGGGGAGTTAAGATACACACACCTATATAGGACATCACTATACACAGACATCAGGCTCCAGATGGGGAGTTAACATACACACACCTATAGAGGACAACACTATACACAGACATCAGGCTCCAGATGGGGAGTTAAGATACACACACCTATATAGGACATCACTATACACAGACATCAGGCTCCAGATGGGGAGTTAACATACACACACCTATAGAGGACAACACTATACACAGACATCAGGCTCCAGATGGGGAGTTAAGATACACACACCTATATAGGACATCACTATACACAGACATCAGGCTCCAGACGGGGTGTTAACATACACACACCTATATAGGACATCACTATACACAGACATCAGGCTCCAGATGGGAGTTAACATACACACACCTATATAGGACATCACTATAAACAGACATCAGGCTCCAGATGGAGAGTTAAGATACACACACCTATATAGGACATCACTATACACAGACATCAGGCTCCAGATGGGGAGTTAAGATACACACACCTATATAGGACATCACTATAAACAGACATCAGGCTCCAGACACCAGCATCATTTTCACAATCGCTACACACTGTCAATCCAAAATTATTATACTTTCTTTATTCATAACTTCAACCAAGTGAATTCATGCGAACATGTACACTATATTCAGCTGTAGACAATTTACAGCAATCAAAGATCATTCTATACAAACACACATATAAATACAATCAAAGATGACCCCAGGTAATCATTCACACACACAATTCCTTCTCTCCTACAAAATTAATACATCATCTCACACCGTGGGTAATCATTCACACACACAATTCCTTCTCTCCTACAAAGTTAATACATCATCTCACACCGTGGGTAATCATTCACACACACAATTCCTTCTCTCCTACAAAGTTAATACATTATCTCACACCGTGGGTAATCATTCACACACAATTCCTTCTCTCCTACAAAGTTAATACATTATCTCACACCGTGGGTAATCATTCACACACACAATTCCTTCTCTCCTACAAAGTTAATACATTATCTTACACCCTGTAACTGGTGGTAGAGACACAGTTATACCACATGTAACTGGTGGTAGAGACACAGTTATACCACATGTAACTGATGGTAGAGATACAGTTATACCACATGTAACTGATGGTAGAGACACAGTTATACCACATGTAATTGATGGTAGAGACAGTTATACCACATGTAACTGATGGTAGAGACACAGTTATACCACATGTAACTGATGGTAGAGACACAGTTATACCACATGTAACTGATGGTAGAGACACAGATACACCACATGTAACTGATGGTAGAGACACATTTATACCACATGTAACTGATGGTAGAGACACAGTTATACCACATGTAACTGGTGGTAGAGACACAGTTATACCACATAACTGGTGGTAGAGACACAGTTATACCACATGTAACTGATGGTAGGGACACAGTTATACCACATGTAACTAATGGTAGAGACACAGTTATACCACATGTAGCTGGTGGTAGAGACACAGTTATACCACAAGTAACTGATGGTAGAGACACAGTTATACCACATGTAACTGATGGTAGAGACACAGTTATACCACCTGTAACTGATGGTAGAGACACAGTTATACCACATGTAACTGATGGTAGAGACACAGTTATACCACATGTAACTGATGGTAGAGACACAGTTTTACCACATGTAACTGATGGTAGAGACACAGTTATACCACATGTAACTGATGGTAGAGACACAGTTATACCACATGTAACTGATGAAAGAGACAGTTATACCACATGTAACTGGTGGTAGAGACACAGTTATACCACATGTAACTGATGGTAAACACAGTTATACCACATGTAACTGATGAAAGAGACAGTTATACCACATGTAACTGATGGTAGAGACACAGTTATACCACATGTAACTGATGGT